CATCGATTTCGAACAACAATTTTGTTTATTATAGAAATGCACATGACAAGTATACTCTCGGTGGTTTGCCATTGCCTGCCGAGAGGAGCTACGAGCATACGAAAATTTTTCGGTTCTGCCTGGGATTGAACCCCAGGATTTCTGGCATAGCAATCTCGTACGCTGCCTGCTATGCCATGCTCGCACTCAAGTGTGTGTGACATGATGTTCTCTAAAACATTTTTTCCATATCTCGCACGAGCTCTGTGATAATCCGCGCGAACGGACTCACGAAACAACCTGCATAATCCAAAATGTAAATGCTATTACTGTCGTAATGTTGGAAAATCTCCACCATACTTTCCACTCATATTGAGCAATATTATGTATCTCTTGAATATTCCCGGAAACTCGAGTTGCTCTTTTTTCTGGTCTTGATTGCACTTCGGATTTTCCCGAGTTATACAACGAGCAAAAACGCGAATTATTAATTTATAGCGAAATAATCCAAACGAACTGAAAATAAATTATTCGCAGAAAAAAACTTGTTACGAAATTCGCAATACCGCAATTTATGTTTCATGCCCGGTTAAAAAAATATATCGGCGAAAACAACGGTTTATAAAATAATGCATATTATGCATATCGCGAACAAATACGTAACGAGGTACAATGAAACTAAAATTCAGAACCAACAACGAAATAACATGCATTAACGCTCAAAATCCCCCTGTCGTCAAATGCAAGTGCATTAGCGCGCAATTAATTCACCGACATCCATTGTATCGCGTTCTCCCGCGTATTAAGTCCATCGCTTGTAAATTCCAACAAGCACGACGTTAAAATAAATCACTGCGTCGTTAATATTGCGATCGACATCCTCATAAGAGCGCAAATTACCGTGATGATGGCGTTTACATATTATCATCATTATCAAGAGCCTGGCTTGCTTGACAAAACTTAAGAACACACGTATTATAACTTTTCCTTTATCACCACGGTTATAAAATGACTACGATTTTGTATGGAGTCTAACGACTCACAATACGTTTTAGCACCCGCGATAACGGAGCAACTTCAAACCAAGTTATTTTGGATCTACTGAGGCGCGATGGCAACAAATATGTTCTTTTCTCACCTAAAGAATGGAAATCGATATAAAGCAAGCGGCAATAAAGGGACCCTCAAACAAGCGGATATATATTATCGTTCGGAAAATGAAACGGCTTATAGGAATTTGTATTTCTTTTTTTTTATTGTTGGCTTTGATTTTAAGAAATTAAATGCACTTTTGATCGGAAATATATTAGCTAATTTCTGCTAATTTCTTTTAAAAAAATTGATTAGAGAAGTTATATCTCAGCTTTCCGCAAAAGATGTTCTCTTGTTACGAAGTAAGGTAATAACGCTCGAAGACAATTTCCTGTGCTTCTCCCACGCCCATAACTATACTGATTGCCAACAACTATATACTGTTTACCCTACTTCGCCAAACTTCCTGTAGACGCGCAACGTGACCATAATCGACATAGACGATGTCATTACACGAACCCGGTAGAGTATAATGAAGATCGAGTTGAAAATGTCGTCGATTAGATCCAAATATAGTTCTATTTCCTTTCAATTGTAAAATTCCATGAGTTGTTCCACATCTCAGGCACGACGATTGATTGAATTGTTAACATTGGATGTTTAATCGAACGCAACTCGGAAATATTCGCAGTGTTAAAACGATAAATTTTCCGTTCGCAATCAAGTAGCAAGTTTCGCAAAGATTAAATAAGGTTCGTGCGTTCATTTAGGTTTTTTGGTTAATAGCATAGAATAATGGTAGGTCAGTTTAATTAAAAAGTTATGGCGACCTATAAGCTCGGTTCTTAGCTTAGCGGCCAACCGCTCAGAACTTCCTAGAGGAATATTAAAGCGTAGGAAAAAGTAAACTTATACCAGATCTGCATACATGCAAATTATCGCAGAAAATACGATTATGCTAAACATGCTGCGCCGGCATATTTTTAATACCAATGAGACTATCAGTATTACACACGACTTATATAGGATTACGTTCGGGTAATCGTCGTAATTATTAACAAAATATTCTTGATAAATAACTTATGAAAGCGTACGGAATTATTTTATCTTATCTATCTGTTTGCTGCAAGTGGATCGATGAAATTTGTAATTAGAGGATAACTGAGATAATTAGACAATTTTAGTCTCGTAGCTTTGCCACGAACTGATGTGTACCGATTGCATATGCATTGCCTACATATTGCAAAGCATAATTGTTTAATTGGGTCACAAATTATAATCGGAATTCGTAATAACATACTTAAACGGAATTTTCTAATCGATTGCATTCGGAATTGCAAATTTTCGTTGCGAATTGTAGTAATTGAATCGCAAATATCACGGACCAGTAATGCCAGTTCTGTCTGCACCGAGAGACGTAGTTTCCTGTATCGAATGAGAATAAACGTTCTCGATGAAATCTCGTTGCGGCGCGAATACATGAAGAACGACTTCTCTACGACTGACAGAATCGTGAGAGAAAAAAAAAAGAGAAAGAAAAAGGGAAAGAGAAGTACGATGAATTTCTCCCTGTGTGAAACGCAAGTTTTGGAACTGCTGTCCAACAACCCCTTGATTCTGTCTCTCTTATGTGTACCACATGCCAACCGTAAATCAATTCTCGAAATTGTTTTCGCGCGTCCACACGCCACCAGTCAGCTAAATTCGATTCATTGAAGCGCACGTACCGGAGAGAACTACGGCGACCACTCGTAGAGACGATTCATAACAAGAATCGATTTTCCCTCAACGAATTCGTTACGAAAATCGAAAAAGTACCTTAGGTAAGATTGTCTAATCGGAACACTATCCCAAATGCGCTAACGAATAACAATGAATCTTCAGATATTAAAATGAATTGCCACACTGAAAAAAATTTACTAAATCTTAATACATATTTCCTTGAATAATACTAAGCAAACATTTATTTATAGTGAATAAATACTTATTCAATAAAAAAATAATAGTTGAATCAAATTAATGGTTTTTGTAAGAAATAAATATATTTACATTTAGTAAATATTTACTTAGAATTATTCAAAAAATGAATATTTATTAAAATTATTAAAATTATTTTTTTTCAGAAATTGAATATTTAAATAATAATATTTAAATAATATATGTATATGTTCGATTTAATTTGATATCTTGAAAACTATTAAAATTAGATGAAAAATTAAAAAAGCTTCTTTAATAGGATTATTCTAAGATAATTTTTTTTTGTGTTATAGAACTTCCTTTCCAAACTCATTCCCTATAAACTTTTAAGAAGGAAAAGAATAGTAGAATTTTTCAAATGTAAATCTCCGAAAAATGGCACTTAATAGATCCCGAAGAAACGAGTCTAATGACCTATAATATTTAAGGTCTTCAATATTATATTATTATATCTGCAATGAATTTTTGAAAATTGTCTCGAGAGAGTATCGATTTCTGTTCGATCAATCTGTCCATGTTGATATCTCGGAAACTATTAAAGTTAGACGAAAAATTGAAAAAGCTCCTTCAATGGGATTACTTTGAGATTATTTTTAGTTTGATGGAACTCGTCCTCTATGAAATTTTCTGAAAGGGAGAAAGGATTCTCAAATTTTTTGATGAGTTTTCATCCAATACTTTCCCTAGACGATTTTTTAAAATTCATTGCGGTCATAGCATTGAAGATAAACTCTTAATATCATAGTTTTTTCGTTTTTTCAGATATCAAGTGCTATTTTTGTTAGAAATTTACATTTGAAAAATTCTAGTACTTTTTCCTTCTTTAAAATTTCACAGGAGATATATATGATTCCATCACACTAAAAATCATTTTAAAGTAATCCTGTTGAAGGAATTTTTTTAATGTTTCATGTATAACTTTAACAGTTTCATAGATATCGACAGATTAAATCGAATCTTTTATAATAATTAATATAATATACATACCACAAAAAAATATAAAGTAATATACGTACGTTAGTAAGTTCCTTACTATTCTTCGCTCTAAATCTGAATGTTTATTGTCATACTTTAAAATGTGACTAATCTAAAATATGATATATATTTATAACAGCGCTCTTTTATAACATTTCAATCGTGAATATTTTTTCTCGAATAAATGTTGTTTTTCACGAAGACCACATTAACATACAGTCGTTATATGCAAATTTATCTCATTTATTCATTTGCCATTATAATTGAAGCATAAGTTGTATCGTTGCTGTAATTGTATTGGTTGAATTAATTTGTCGACAAATCGACTATATGAGCATGGACCATTTTTGTTATTTACGAGTTAGCGAATTTTATTGTCCTGGGAATAATTAATTAACAACTTCATCTCGCGATGCGCAGGCATTACTCCGGCTTTATACAAGTAATGCATACATGTTCAGCAAATGGGGTCCGACAAGTTCAGAGCGCCACTAATACCTGGCCAGTTCCATTTAGTAATTGCTACCTAACACGCTCGTCCAACTTATTACTGTCTAGATGCTGTCTACACTGTGGCGTTCCGCTGCACCACATTGACCGGCATGTATATTCATCGAGTATTGATTGCGAGTGTATGGACGGAACAGTAATGGAAATTCCATCGATTCGTGTTAAAGCATTCGATACGTTCGATCCATCAAAATACGCGCATCGAAACAAGAACAATTGTATTCGAATGACATTAACATAACCAATGATATTAATGTTAATAATCATGGAGAACACACTGCGTGAAATTATCGCATACAGCGGTATACCTTCAATTGCACCGCAGTTAATTACAGAAGTTTCGAAAATTTCGTGAATTTCAAATCTTTGAATTTCACGGTCCTTTAACTAAATTCTCAATTTCCTTTATTTTAATTAACTAATTTATATTCTCTGCTATTCTAATTTAGACTCTTTACTTTTGTCTGAAAACATTCGCACTTCCTCAATTTTCCTCTCAATCTCATCTTTTAATTCTCTGATAATAGATATTGGAGTACGACCGGCAGCGGCCAACAAATCGTGACGGACATCCCGCGAGACAACAAGGCGGCGATCATCAACAGCATCGCCACGTCGTACTCTCTGCAGAGACCGAGGTATACCGCGACCGCGATACCGCGAACATCGAAAATCGTCCTCGATGGTAAAACGAGGTACAGCGAGACAGGGAAGTCCGACTGGCCGTATTATCAAACGTATAGGCAAACAGCGGAGACGCAGAAAGCGCAAATCTATGAGGACATCCAGAGGAAGATTGCCAACGTATCGGACGTTTTGAATACACGAGTAACGGGCTACTTATTCGCGAACAACGTGACCAACTCGATGGATCAGCGTCAGCATAGATTCAGGATGAAACATCACGGATTGACATCTAAAGGCAAACGAATTAGAACACGTAAGTATAACACAAATTTTCATATGATCTGATATTTTGATCTTAAGTTTTGTTATTTCTAAGTTTTATATTTTTAATAATAATAAAATATAATTAATAATATAATATATTACTTATATATTTTTTCACCTATAAGTTATGAAAACAATGATCCTCATCGGATCCATTATTGGATTTGAAAGTCTGTTTTCATTCTTGTGTGCGTGCGTGCGTGCGTGCGTGCGTGCGTGCGTGCGTGCGTGCGTGCGTGCGTGCGTGCGTGCGTGCGTGCGTGCGTGCGTGCGTGTGTGTGCGTGTGCGTGTGTGTGTGTGTGTGCGCGCACTAAACTGCACTGAACTTTCTTTTTCGCTTTCATCAAATATCAAACAAATAGATCATACCACTTTAAGTTCTAAAACACTAGTACAATACACTAGATTAAAAAAAAATAGACCTTTGAACGTAGCATTATCGGATTCGAGCGTAACATTATCCGATTCTATTTAATTAATTTAGAATAATATTATCTTGCAAAGCCGGCTTCTGTTCGCGTAGCAAAATATAGTGAGATGATATAATATATGAATAATGTAACAAGCGATACTTTATATCGCTGACGCTATCGCTCGATAGCTATCTTGTTGCTCTTCACTAAACTGGCGAATGATTATACGGACATAATTCAAAATATTTTTCGAAACCTTCGTAGAACCTTTGCTTTTGCTATCTAATCGAGCCTCTAATTAACTCTTTAAACGATACGATGCACGGAAGGTCCGGACAAACCCTCGGTGAAGTTTTTTATTGACGATAGCTAATGCAAAAGCCGAGCGCCCTCAATAGCCATATTTCCCGCGTAAATGATCAAAGCACGCTTCCGCACTCTTCCTCTCCCGCTCGCGCTCTTTCCCGTCTCATCCATTCACGTTGTCGTCCACTCTGTACTCTCCTCTCTCGCATTTGCCCACTATTCCGATTTCCGTTTATTTCATCGATGTAGATTTTTCTTGTGCGAAATTCTTACATACATTGTTCAAGCTGATAATAATTATCAGATTACAAATCCGTTTATTAAATGATAAATTAATATCGATAACTATTGTGATTCATCCGACTAAATTTAATTTCGCATTTCAATTCAGCTGCTAAATCCAAAAAAAAAAAAAAATCGGAACAATCTAAATTGAATTTTCAAATTTTTAACTAATTGTAAACTAGATTATCTCAAATAATAAAAATACATTTCACAGTCCTCGAAAGAATTTATATTTTTTTAAATTTTGTAAAGGATTATTTGAGGAAAATTTAAATGTAGAAAATTTCCTCGATTTTCATTGCGGTCACCTATTCCACGAAGATCGTGGTTATCTACCTCGAGAATTTCCCTGCACGTTACGAGATTAGACATGAACTCGCTCATCCGCTCGAGCGGAATAATTGCATTCGTGATTTCAGGTGCACCGAGAGATTGCAAGGTCGGCGAATGGGGCCCGTGGAGCGCGTGTAGTCGCAGCTGCGGGGTAGGCGAGACACAGAGGACGCGGAAAATCACGATAAAGCCGCGTCGGGGTGGCGCACCGTGTCCGCCGTTGAAGGAGACCAAGTGGTGTGGTAGCGTCAATCCGTGCTCGGAGAGTAAGCCGATCATCGACTATCATTGGTAGTCATCGTCCGCGTCGGTCCCCTTCCACGAACACGTGTACCAAAGTGACTCGCTCACGGACGAAAGGTCGTGTAAGCCAAAGACGGGCAAGACGAGCGAGGAGTGACTTATGCGAGAAATGCACGCTGGGACGCGAATATGATTAAATAATTCAATGAATGGAAAATGATACAGGCTAGAGAAGAGTATCTTTTTTATATATCTCTCTCAGTAGTCACCGCAACATGACTAGACGTGTATTTATGGGACATACCATGTGTCCCATTTAGAAAACGTAACATCTGCGTGATTTGACAATATGCGTTACACGAAAACAATATCTGATTCATAAACAATATCTGATATTTTAAGATAAAAGAATTAGTAACTGTTGCAGCGATTACATTTGGCATCGGACGATAATACCGTATGCATTTACACAGATGACTGTAATGATCATGCATGACGTAATTTCACGTAATCCCGTTGCTATTAAATCCTGTTTGATATAATGAGTGGCCGTGATGAGAAAGAGCGTCGAGTCATATAATCGAACGATATAATATATTTCATTACAATTAGTATTCGCAGCCATTACATATTTTGGCAAACAAGCGGAGAAGCATTATCACATATATACAGCTGCTTTATTTTATTCGCTTGTATTTATTGTCGTTTGATGTCACGTTCGTCGAGCGATACATATACATATAGATATGTATCGCTCGGACCGCGAATTGAAAACACAAAGATTGCCAAAGAGAAATTCGAATAGCTGACTCGCGTCGTATCGCGTTTCCGCGTGTATCACTAAAATGCGTTTGAGGCTCGATTTTCACTCCGAGCGCACGGCGTTTCGATCTTTTTTGTTTTTCAGAATAATTGAACAATCGGCATTGTTTATCGAATTTGTTACAGCAAAAATGTTATAGTAAAAAAAACAAAAAAAAGGCTAAAAAAAGTAACATGTATCTATTTAAAATATCTATTTTGCAAGTCGAATTATAGAATTCTATCTCACGATGATTCATAATCAACTGCAAATTTTATGACAATGATAAAATTAACCAAATATATTTTAAACATACATCTTCAAAAATATCAAAGAGATTTAAATTCCCTTAATTTAACATATATATATTTTTATATGATATATCTTTATTGGAAATTAAGTTCCCGACTTTATTCAAAAGCGGGTTTAACGATCGACGAGATGAGGTAATAACATACCTTTGCACGCGAAAAAAAAAATGAACCTCGGCATAATTAGAAAATTGACCCGACTTTCCGGAAGAAAAACGTTAGGTGCAATTAAGCTGACAGTTTAATTGTCGGTACAAATGACGGACCACGTTACGAGTGCGGTGATCGGCGATTTGCACGTTCAGGTGCGGAATTTCTCGGTAAAATTTAACCATCGCGTGCAGCACTGGAAATTTCCGCTGAGATTAAGCCGGCGTTTCCGAGACGTACTACATTACTTAAAACAAAGTTTTTACTGATTCATTATTTTCCATCGCGGAACGAAAATAGTACAAAATTTACAATCGAATTTTCTTAAATAAGACTAATAACAAAATTAATTCTTAAATGAAATTTTGATTACAAAATTCATTTTTCTTCAATGTTTCATGTTTATTATTAATTCATTATATTTTGAAGCTCTATTATCCTTAGCTTATCTCTTGCTATAACTTCACTGCCAAAATTGTTTCCTTTTCAAGAAATTCGTGAAACATTTACAATTTCGAAACGTTGTGCAATGATCAAAAAATTAAAATATTTCGTGCAAAAGAAGAGAGTAAGATCGATGTCCGGTAGGATGTATCGAATAAACGTCAGAGCGATTTTCGATACGAGATGCGCGCATCTCGCATAAAATCCCAGACAATGTTTTCGCGTGGGGATGTTTTTCGCAAAGCGTCTCCTCGCTCGACGACAGCATCGACGAAGGATATCGTATAAAAGAGGAACCTGCAGACCGGGTTCTGTTTTTTCCTCCATCGTCATCAAGAGTGCTGCATCTTTTCTCACTCACTCTCTCGTCTGTCTCTTTCTCTCTCTCTCTCTCTCTCTCTCTCTCTCTCTCTCTCTCTCTCTCTCTCTGTCTCTCTCTCTTTCGTGGCGTGGTAGGGAAATTTTTACAAAGATATCACATCAGGTACGTCTTAGGTGAGTGTATTATATCTTAGGCATAAATTTAACAATAATAATTAATAACTAACGTCTAATCGTTAATTATTAGTACCGTATATTAATCGCGCGACACGGAGCTCGGCGTTGTTGCCCGGCGTGTTGTGAAAAACGCGAAATCTATAATTATATAAGAACGAACGAAAAGCAATCTCGCTCTGGCGGACGGATTTAAGGATGCAACGCTGAATTCCGTGTGCGATGTATGTTGACGCACGGCTTGTCCTTCATGTCTAACGTCCATGACCGCTATTCTCGTCGAACATTTAATATTAAACGCGATCGATCGTAAAATTTGATACGATTAATTAAATTAAATTTAAATAGTCATAATTTGTCTAATATGAAGAACGGTGAGAGAATGAACAAGGAACAGTCAATCTACACGCAAGTAAATTGCACAATTGCATTTAGCATTAAATGAGCGACAAGGATAAAAGCCTATATAGCTAAAATATTTGTAACTCTGCACAACTTTTTATTTGAATTAAAACTATTAATTTCAACAGGAAAATGAACTGTGTGTGTGCTGCTATAATTAAATATTGTGTAAAAATTTTTTTTAAATTAATGTCAAGCGTGACATAATAGTAATGATTTCCCTGCTGCGTTTTGGCTCCCGCAAAACACGAAATAATCATGCTGCATGAAAAAAAATGGTACGAGCAGAAAATACAGCATTGTACAAACTCACATACTGTCGCATATAATATTTACATTTGTTCATCCCACTGTAAACTGATATGAAAGGCCAATCTTCGCGATAGTAACGGATAAACATGAGGAAAGCTCGATTACGTGTAAAAATTTTCAGAATGCAAATTGCCGTGTGGTACTGTAACGTAATAGCTTCCACAATTATCTCATATCTCTCAAAACTCCTCTATTACTGTATTTTAAACGATATTAAATAAAAATATGAAAAATCCGCACATCTTGGACAATACTCATATAAAGTAAGATGATATATCGTTTTTATACGAATACAATTTCTGCTCGTGCTAAAATCTTTTTTAAATTTCCAAGCTATTAAAGGTTTCATGCAAAACGTAATCTCATAAATGGAAAAAATAGTTAGAAAACTCTCGCACGATGGAAATAATAGCTACCGGACAAAACTAAATATAAAAATGAGATGACCGCCGTACCGTGGTTGAAATTATCTCGAAGAAAAGAGTTTGTCAAAAAGTCCTTCGTTAAAATTACGACAATTTCCGGCATATGTTTTACACGTGAAATGTACCGCTATTTAGCCTACAATCTTTCAATACACGGACGGAAATAATATTAATTAACAACGTTACTTATAACGTTTTGATATTATATTAAAAATCCGATTGTTCGCGATAATTAGCGGCTGATCTTCGCCTGAGATAATTCCTCGAAAACCGTTGTTGCCGGCGGGAGCCGCGCTATTGAGATAAAATATCAAGCCAGGCTAATCTCCGAGACCGGAAATCTAGCCGT